CTGTGACTTACAGGTACACGATTCAAGAGGAACCTCAAGGAACTGTCCCGACATTTGTAAGAAGATGGATTCTTTATGTACTCAACATCCCACTATCACCCAAGATTTGTAGAAGAGCAGTTATCATGTATCCTCAGGCTTGGGGAGAAATTATGACCCATATTGTGTGACTCAGGAGACAATTCCAGCCTTCTGGATTGACAGCCTAGACAGACACAAGGGAGTGAAGGAAGAAGTGATTTTTCACCCTCAAAGTTTGCTTAGGATGTGTAAGTTTTAAAACAAGCGTACAGGGCCATTGCAACCGTGGTAGCTGGCAGCATGAGCAGCTGTTATCACTTACTGAGCTCTTGATTTGTGTCCTGGCACTTTGCCACATGCTTGGAAAGTTTATCTCCTTAAATCTCAAAATAGCCCTATCATTTTCATTTCATGGTTTATGAAATTAAGGCTCAGAGAGGCTAAGTAACATGACCAATGTCTCACTTGTCAGTGACGGAAGGAGGATTTGAACATATAAAGCCGGGTCTAGAGGCAAATGCTTTTCACTGTTGCATCTAGAGTTTTTTATTCCCCCATATCACTCTCTTCTCTCCTAAATGACAACAATCAAAGAACAACCACCATCACCACTAATATAGCAGCATCTATAACAGCAAGAATATTGACCAAAGTCTTTCTTGTATAGTGTTGCCTGGATTCCCCTTCTTGCCTTATACTTTGGGGTTCTCAAACTGGCTCTGAAACACTTGGGAAACAAACCCTTCTCTCCTTAGAAGGTTCTGTGGCATGCCCTTGGGGCTCTCTGGTTACATTTTCCCCCACAGAGGAAGCCCCCTGCCCCATACACACCTGGGATTGATGACACTTTTAGTAGAAATGAAGGAGTTTGATTAGGGAAGGTATGTTCTTAGCTAATTTCTTGCCAAATATTTACTTGTAAATTTCTAATGTTTCCTCTGCTCAGATTGTGTCACTGAATAATTTTCTACTTGATAGAGTTTGGGTATGTGAATTATTGGTCATAAACATTAATGGCTCATTCACTCTTCCTAATATAGTTCTGAAAACGGAGCTTCTTAATGAAAGAATGATGGATGAGCAAAAAAACCATTTAGGATAGATCTGAGTACACGGATTTAACCATTGCTTTGCAGTTACGTTCACCTGTGACAAATATGAACTGGAATTTTTGTCTCACACAGCTCATTTGGCGTGTGGAAGCCTCAAAACTCCACCAATGTTGTGTCGCCAAGGGAAATCGACTTGGTAGGGAGCACCCTACCACTATGATCTGCATCTGTGTGAATGAACAGTCGTGAGTAAGGTGGCACGCCTTGGCCACGTGCATGTGAGTTCAATTAATTTGGAAGTTATAGGCAAATCTCCCTTGAGAATTATCACCAGAGGAAAAAGTGCCAGGGAATAGTTTGTTCTTTGATCATCTGAAAATGTCACTCATGCATACATACGCGTATACACGTTTCTGTATAGAATTGGAAGCAATCTTTTCTTTCAAAAATCTATGGACTTTCAAAGCTTATTATATAAGAGTAAAATGGGTGGAACTCTGCAGCCTTTTAGTAACAGCTATAGATTAATTTGGTGTAGAGTCTAGGCTGCAATTTTGAATATTTACTGTGTTTGATCCTCATTAGTATGTAGAAGAATAGAATAAAAACTAATTTCCATCACACTTCTCTCTTCATTATAATTCAAAGTTAATTTTGAATTTATTTATTTATTTATTTTTCTTCAAGACAGGGTTTCTTTGTGTAGCCTTGGCTGTCCTGGACTCACTTTGTAGACCAGGCTGTCCTCCAACTCAGAAATCCACCTGCCTGTGTCTCCCTGAGTGCTGGGATTAAAGGTGTGTGCCACTGCACCTAGCTTTAAATTTTTTTTTTTTAAGAATGTATGTTTATTATGTATGTATGTATTTTAAGTGCCTGCATGTATGTCTGGGTGACAGTGTCAGCTCTTGCAGTTATGGAAAGTTGTGAGCTGCCATGTGGGTGCTGGGAATGAACCTGGGTCCTCTGAAAGAACGGGCAGTCTTCTTAACTGCTGAGCTTTCTCTCTAGCCCCTAATCTAAATCCTGCATGGAGGATAGAGGGCTGTTTCACAGGGGTCTCTTTCAAGCCTGATCCCAGCTGTTGGCAGTATTGGAGGAGAAATCCTCTCTCCTTTGAAAACTGCTCTGGATGTAGAAGCTGTTTCAGCCTGGGTCATAAGCTGGCTGGAGTAGGAAGTGATGCAACTCAGATCCTTAGACCAGTCCATGTGGAAGAACAGAAGCCCATTGTTTTGTGTCTTCCCCAGGCCATCCCAGCCCCTGCTTCCTGTAGTATTGCTCTCTTCTTCCCATGCCCAATACTACTGATTCAGTCCTCCACCTAACATCCGTAATGAGCCTAGCATGTTGTTCATCAATAGGTGTCCTTTAAGTGTCTCACATCACAGCGACTCAATGGACAAGCCACTCAGGACACCAAACATATCTCTAGCTATAGTCGGAGCACTCTTCAGTGCTTCCGTAAGCCGCACAGAGAATTCATCAGCAATTGTGTTCAGACACATCTCCTTGACATATGATGCATCTTAGGCATTTTTCTAAGCCTTGAAGACACAAGATTGTGTAAAATAAAGTTCTCAACTGCTAGGGTCACACTGCTGTGAAACACAAACACTACAGCAAGTGAAGACAAACAAACACAGACAAAGAGAGCTTGATATAGGTTCAGCGCAGGGGTAGAACACTGTCAAGACTTACAGGATTTTTTTTGAATAATTTTTTTTTCTTTCTCATTCACAGCTTTAGCTCAGAAAAGCTCTCATTTCTACTTTTGATTTATGCAGAATCCTGTTCTCAGCATCTTCACTGCTCACGGCTATGTCAGCCCCACGAAAGCCCAAAGAGAAACCTTGTAACTCTATCCTTGTCCTTCAATATTGCTTCTCACTAGCATGCAGCCAGGAATTCTTTGAATGAAGGTGAGGTAGCCTTCTCCCTAGTGTGAAGCAATCAGTGATTCTGTGAATAGAGGAGAGATGGCTTCTGCTGTGTTTCCAGGTCATATTACACCCAAATGTCCAACATCTGCCATGTCCTAACTTTTCGCCCTCCCATTTTCTCTTGACCCAGGCCTTACCTTTCTCTGGTCACCTAGAGATCATAGTGTTTGTGCTAGCCTCCTGCAGTCCTGGCTCCCACCCCCACCCTGCCCTCACTTTCAGGGTTAGCAGAGAAGCGGAGCTTAGCTCCCCAGCAGACCTCCCTGACCTCTTTCCCCCAAGCACAGCATCTTCCCAAGCTGCTTGGTTTAAACCTGGCACATGTCCCCTGCTCCTACCTGTTCATTGTTTACTTTACATAGCGTTTACTTTGTCTCACCAGCTCACTCCCAAAGCATAAAACTGTCCAAGGACAGAAAAAAAAAATCTTGATTAGATATTTGCTGAAGAAATTAACTTTTAAAAATCACAAAGGCAAATAAAGGCTGTAATTCATACGTAGGCTTGAATTACAGGTGAAGGGCAAGGAAATGAAATAATTCACATCTAGTGTGACCACATTGTAGAGATCCTCAGTGATCAGACTGGAGGCTTTGGTGGAGGAGATGGATTGTGACATATAGCTGTTATGTACCGAGCTGTGCCCCACCCCCAAGCTCAAAGGGTTAATCCCAGTAGCTTAATCCCAGTAGCTTAAAATGTGATGGCACTGGGAAAATGACACCTTCAAAGAGGTGATTGATTTAAACTCAGGCTGTCTGGATGGGTCATAATCCAACCTGACTTGTGTCTTGTAAGAAAAAGAAATGAAGAGACATAAAGAGATACCAGGAAGGATCCCGAGAGTCCTTTGAGGACGCAGCAAGAAGGCAGCTGTCTGCGAGATGCAGAGGCCTCAGGAGAAACCAGGCCTGGTGACACCTTGATCTTAGACTTCTAGCCTTCGAAACGACAACAAAGGAGACCTCTGAGTTTAAGCCCCACGATCTCTGGGGTTTTGAAATGGAATTGTGACTTTATGTGACAGGTCTCTGCTATTGTGAAGTGGGGTGGAAGTGAGACGAGATGAGGTCCATGTTTTAGGAAGGCTGCACCGATCAAAGAGAACACTGAAGTGGGGACCAGAAGATGATAGCTTACTGGGAAGCATGAAAGAGGAAGAGAAGGCAGAGATGAGTGTATATCAGGGATGACATCAGTCAATTATGAAGAGAAAGTCTGACACATTAATGTGGTATTGACATCTGCCACAAAATATGATTTAGTAAAATGCTGTGGGGTATAAGAGTTCAACAAATAAAACATGAGTTCCAGGGGTCACATTGTCTGCTAGGAAGAGTGTCAATGTGGAATGTAATATAGGCCCTATCAGCCTTCACACTGCTCCAGTGGGAAGGGCTGTGTGCTCAGAAGGGGTTTTGTGGAAGAACCAGCCCACCCTTCCATTAGCACAATAATGAACGAAAGAAACTCTATAATGAAATCTCTGTAACTATCTAAACCAGAAATAGTCCTGACATTCAATTGATGGTCCTTATTTGAGAGGTACTTTTATGCCTTTCTGAACTGTACATTTTAGAAATTAGCATTTGAGGAGTGTGTTCCAGTACACTAATACAGCTTCAGTGCAAGTAGAGAACCTTGGCCTGGGAGACTTCTAGTTCTCGTAGAATCGCTGTTGAACATTATCTTAACAGGCTAGAAGAATTAGTTACAAAAAAGCAAACAAACAAGCACTCAATTCTTCCATAGCCTGACAGCCACCAGATCTAGAAACAAGTTAGTTTTCTGATGGTTTCTCAGTACTTTGAAAGAACAATTAAGGTGGTTTCAGAGGAACTATGGTTCAAGTGCAGAACTCTGGGGGCAGCTGTTTGAGTTAGAATTCAGCCTAGAGTTCTTTGATGCCAGATCAACCACTATCTAGGCTTCTGCACATTCCCATCAGCTCTGTACCCAAGAATGTCCACATGCAGTGACTCACAGGCAATGCGCACGTATGCCTTCCGACTCTTCGTGGTGCCTGCTGAACTCCAGGCCACACACTGGCACCAGTAATCTTCAGGCCCAAACAGTTCCTCCACCTGCTGCCGCGAAATCTCAATGCTCACTTCCCTCACAATGAGACCTGACAAGAGAAACACAGGTTCAAGTCAAGAGAAGACCTGCAGTGAAGAAAGGAGATGCCTCCACTATCATTTGATGCCACTGATGGCCATCCAGATATTGCCTCTCACCTCTCATTTCCTGAGGACTCCTGTTACTGTACTATACATAGTTGTTCTTTCACTGGCTTTCTCATGTCTTCAATATTCATCAGAAGATGAAAGTGGGGATGGGTTTATAACCCCACAAAGTAGCATTTCTTCCTATCTAATTCGATAATATTCATCTCTTACCAGGCTCTATCCGTCTGTTGCTAAAATGGTATCATCTTGTCTCCCATGTTTGCTAAAAATTCTATCTTATTTATGTAGGTTGGGGTTAAGATGCCCAGGTATTGTAAACAGCCTTTCCCAACAGGGTCTCCCTGTACTTCACAAAAAAGCAAGAAAATAACCTAAATTGATAAAATCAGAAGACATCATTTAAAAACCACTTTAACAGATGTGTTTAAAATATAATAATCAGCCCACCACTTTTTATTGAAATAAATTAAGTTTCAATCAACCAAAGAACATATGATTTCAAAAAGTTTTTTCTGAATAAACATTTAGAATCTCACATGCTCCTCTGTAATTGTAATGAAATCCCAATGAAGTATTTTCAGCTACAGTGTTGAAATAATTTCAACCTCTTGTGTCCTGAGTAACAAAAAGTGAACCAAGGATGTAGGATTATTGTTTCAGTGGTATTTATTTGAGCTGTTAAGGTAACTTCAGAGATTCATTCTGCTATGTGTCTCTTTGCACTGACCAGGGGAGATTATTGGAGTGAAATATGTGGGCAACTGCCAGTTCCCCTGGAGAGTGAATATACACATATCCAAAATAAAGTGTTCATTGAGAGCAACAGCGGACCACCCAAGGGGAGCAAGGGAATTTGCTCTGAGCCATCTATGGACACAGTCAGAATGACAGGATGAATTGCTTTTGTCTATTAGCGTTATATGCATCAATCCATTCATTTTTCCATTGATACTTTATCAAGTATCAGTTATGTTAAAGATATTTTATTAAGCACTTGTAAAATTCTAATGAATGAGATAGTTTATTCATTCAACCTTAGTGAAGTATAGGCAGTCAATGATATATATGGTGAAGAAGGCTCAGATTAACAATGGGATAACACTATTTACTAATGTGGAATAATTATGTTCAATTCTACAAAGAAGTTGTATAGAGATGAGAGAAAATTTCAAGGGAATTCAGTCTACTATGAAAGATCCCATAGGGGTTACTTTATTTATATTATATGTAGAGAGGTATTTAACATTTAGGTAGGAGTAATGAAAATTATGAGATTAGAAATTGAAATGACCACTGAACACTGGCCATAGAGAGCAGTGGTATGAAATGGAAATACAGACAAGAAAGGGTCCAGTTTTGATGTTTGTATTCCAATAAGTCTCCTAGTGGGACTCCTAGAATGCCTTCCGTGATATCACCCAAAGACCTATGGGAAATGCAAGTTCTCAGACCTTACTCCAGATTCAATCAATAGGAAACTTGGGGATGAGACCACCCAGTTTATGGCATTTTAGGAAGCCTGCCAAGTAATGGTGTTTGCTACACTGGAGAATTCTTGTATATAATGCTTAAGACTTTGGATTTCTTTCTAAAAGCCGTGTGTATCATTGAGATGTTTAAAAGTAGAGGACTTGGGCAGAGGATGACTGAATATATATATGTGAGATAGATAATATCTATACATTCACATACATGTGTTTAGAGTTTAGTAAACTACAGAATATTATGATGTTTAAAAATATTTTTTTATCATAGGTGACAGGAAAAGACATGGCTTCAGGACACCTTGAAAGGGGGTACCCAAAATATTTCTTTAATACCTAAGATATATTCAAATAATTTCACTGAATTTAGAGAAATTCATAAGTACCCAACAGAGATAGGTGTCCTCTTATGGAGGAATGAGCAGTATTTTCTGCTAAGAACCTATCGGGTCTGAGTCATAGGCCCTTAGATCTCCTGAAAACTGAATTATACAGAAGCCTAGGAAAACATGTATCATATATCCAGGACAAGGCAAGATCCTGAAAAGACAACTTTATTATCAAATGTTTATAATTTATTATTATTTCAAAGTTTGAGGATAATTAATCCCTTTATATTTATTTACTAGCCAGTTTTCAAAAGGTACTCTCAGGTAAATGTCATAGTCTCACCCTCCATCCAGCTCTGAAAAGGACATAAAGAACTCTACTCATCAATGTTTAAATAGTAGAACAGTTTTCCTAGGGGGAAAAAAAATCACCGCTTTTCTATTTCATGGGTCCTCCTCAGGTCCCAGTTTTCCAACCTTGCTGCCATTTTTCTCTTTAACATGTAGAAATCTGTTTTCAAATAAAGAAATACAGCCTTCTTTCCAGACACCCACCTTCCTTTTCTCCTTATTCTCCAATGTGTAGTGCTTTCGTGCCCCGTCCCCCTATCTTGCTAAAACATATCCTTTTTATGTGGAAGTCCAGTTACGGGAAACAAAACTCCTTCCTTTAAAGTTGCTGCGGGAAATTTACAGGCACCGAAGGGCTGATAAAACTGCAGCGTATATTTGCTTCTAACTATAATGGCTCTTTCTGAAAGGCAGAACAGCAACAAATGGGCCACGGATATTAAAACCACGTACAAATATTTTGTGTCCCGAGATGATAACCTCAGGTCTCATTCCCCTCCCGTTTACTTGAAGTAATTACTGGAAACCTAATTAAATGCCGGTGGAACTTCACCGGGTTCACTGCATCCTTAGGACTGAATAGGTTCATGAATGTTTCTACTAACCACAAATCCGAAACCTTTTAAGAAGCCACAGACCAGCCCTCTTGCTACAGGAGCTATTCATAGTATGAATGTTCTGAATTATGTGGCCCAGGCTCCCTGTGGGCACTGGAGTCTAGCACACATGCAGGGCTGTCTTGAGCTTCACAGACACTCCATTCAGGAGCACATGAACTAGTTACGGTTATGTACAGTTGCTTGACCACATGGCCCACACCATTTACATTTCAAATTTTGATCAGTGACAGAATAAGGAATGACTGCAGCATGAAGTATCTAAATCTTAGAGCTCAGGATTCCCTACAACCCTCTGCATTGCTCAGGCTCTCAGCTGCATAGTTATGTATAGTTTTTTTTTTTCTTTTTCATTGCTGTGGGTAATTTCATTACCTGTGACATTTTGCCCATCAAATAAGAGGTTAGTGACTTCAGTAAAAGTAAGTAATATCTTTCCTTTTTGAAAGCAGAATTTCAGATCTTCTTGAAGTCAAGAAAGAGATGCAAGAAACAAGCCTTCTTGACATCTGAAATTCCATCAGCGTTACTTCCAAGGAAGACTGCTTTGAAGAGCTTTTGGAAACTTGAAATTGGTTTCAGGTTATTTAGGGGTTGGGGGAGTGCTACACGATTTACAAATGAGTAGTTTCCATCACATGTGATAACATCAAAGGTTTCCCATCACTTTCTTTAATAGTGGTATCTCAAAGATGCAGGCTGTTTGAAGTTTGCAGTCATTTGTGTTTATAATAGGATTCATTGTGGTTTGGGAACCAGAGTGCAAGGAGCTGATTAGCTTTTTACACCAAAAACTCTTACAGTGAGTATGAACATACAATTAATAAAGAGGTTTCAAATGGATATGAAAATCCAGATAGAAGTTCACCCTTCTGAGATCTCATATAATAAATAAAACAATGAAACTCTCAGTATTATAATTGATCACAAATATATGTATAACTGATTAAAAAAACATATTCCCACAGAAATACAATATGCAATCCTATCAAATGACTATGTATTAACAAAATAACTGATATTGGTGAAATTTTAAGTTTTATAAGTGAAAAGACAGGCTAAATATTATCCAGCCTAAGGTTGTTAATTTATTTTATGAAAGGTCTTCTTTTGGGAGGAGGAGAGGTGGAAGGATTTCAAGACAGGGTTTCTCTGTGTAGCTTTGGCTGTCCTGGACTCACTTTGTAGACCAGGCTGGCCTTGAACTCACAGAGATACTCAGGCTTCTTACTTCCTGAGTATGAAAAGTTTTCTTTTTTTAAATTTATTTATTTTTTATATTAATCACAGGTTATTTACTTTGTATCCCAACCGTAGCCCCCTCCCTCCTTCCCTCCCAACCCCACCTTCCCTCCCTCATCTTCTTCCTGCCCCTTTCCATGTCCACTAATAGGGGAGGACCTCCTCCCGAAAGGTCTTCTTTATAAGTCATTTTATAAATGTTATGTACGAAGTTGCCGCAGTCATCATGGAGAACTATGGTGTATCAACATACAACATGAATTAATAAATGTAACACATAAATAGTTTCACGTGCAGAAATCATGTAATACCATTAAATACAGAAAAGGTCTTTGACAAAATATAACATCTCTTCATGATAAAAATCATGGACAGTCAAGGGATACATGGGACATTTACCAACATAACAAAGGTAGTATCCAAAAAGCCGATAGGCAACATTATGCTAAATGGAGAAATATTCAAAGTATTTTCCCCAAAATCAGGAAGAATATAAGGGTGTCCACTATCTCCAATAATGTTCAGTATAATTACTTAAGGTCTCAAATACAGCAATAAGACAAAAGAAGAAGATAAAGGGAATGCAAATAGAAAGGGAAATCAAAGTATCTTTATTTTCAGATGTTGTATTTCTCTATATAAAATAACATAGATTCTACCAGAAATCTCCCACAACTGATAAACACATTCAGCAAAGAAGTAGGATACGCAGTTAACTTTCAAAAACCAAAGTCTTTCTATATACCAAAAGTATCCACACTAAGAAGGGAATCAGAGAAATAACACTATTCACGGTAGCCCTGACAAAACTGAAGTTTTTAAAAATATTCCCAATCAAGGAAGTGGACTATTTGCACAATGAAAAAAAAAAAGAAATTTGTGTGACTAACCAATTTCTGATTGGATTTAAGGCCCA